TTTTATATAAACCGTGGAAGGTTTGAACTTTTGGCTTATAATTTTTTCGGTATGCGTATTTGGATATTCAGATTTAAAAAATAACTCTCCATTCCAAAAGAGGTTTGAGCCTACTGCACAAAATATTTTAATATTTTAATATTTTACAGGTCTAAATCTAATCAATCTTGCTTTACAATAATTCTACAAAGTCATGACTAAAAATAAAATAATCTTTGGGTTTTGGTTTTACACAACCAAATTTTCAACACCCAAAACAATGCTATCATCTGAACACAATTTATCAAATCATTTTTTTATTCCACTACATATTTTCAGTGATATATTCAGCTACAAGTAAAAACTTATTCAACCAAATAATCTCTAGCTATTCAGCTAGTATCATTTTTTTATCCGAAATTTTGAACCATTGGGCCAGGTGAGATAGATCATGCCTCAAATCTGTAGGACGCATTCGGCAACAATTTTCTTTCTAAGAAACAACCCCAAACAGTTCTATCATTCAATAGCCTTAAACGTTGATGGGGACCAAAAATATGATCGTAAAGTCATTACCCAACTTGGAGAGTGGCCATTCACATCGGCTTATGGCCGCTTGACAAGTGTCTTTCAAATCTTTATATGTAAATTTTTGTTATAAATGTTGTGACTGTTATCTTAAATATTAATAAACGTATGTTTGGTAATGAAAACTATATAAGATGTGACTGTTATTTTAATAAGTATTTACAAATTATTTTTTAGTAAAAAATAAAAAATATGACATAAATCCGATAAAATGTATCTAATTTAGTATTTCATGATTTGGTTTTTAAACCAAAAGCTTTATCAAGAAGTGAAATAATATTTGGATGAAACTCTTGACTTCTCAAATCCTTTTTATAAATGCAGTATTGCAGCTTGAAATACTCTAAACCTACTTCCAACTCAATCCAGTTTAATATCGTGAACAATAGTTTCTAAAGACTTTCTTGAAAACGATCGTCTAAATGATTTCTTGATTATATAGATCTATAAATAGTATTTTGCACCCAAAACTTGGTCAATCAAAGACAAATTTAAGGAAAAAAAATGCTGAGAATTTATGTAAATGATTATTTTCATTCATTTCGTGAAATTTTTGATAATTGTTTTATTTATATAAAAATAGATCTCAAAATAACAAGAAAAAGAAGATAATAATTAGTCAACAAAATTTTTTTATTCATAAACTATATATAATCTAAAAAAAAAGCTTTAGATATAATCATTTAAATTTATTTATTTCTCAAAGTTAAAACTACTACTACTAGGATTTAGAAAAAGTCAATAAAACAAGATACAAAATTAAACGATAAGTTTTAGAGACTTAAAAAAAACAAAGACAATAATTAAAAAAACAAAGACTTTAAAAATAATTAAAATCTTAATAGCCTCACGCGTCAAGCACTCCTTTATTAGTCTCTTCCATTAAATATTTATTGGGCCGCAGGAGCCCATATCTTTGGCTGATTATTTAGAGATTATATTTGAGTAAAGCTTTGACCCCACACAAAAAAAACAAGATTTGAGTTCAACCAAGTAAACTATTTTTTTCTACAGCAGCCAAGTAAATTATGCAAGACACATATAATACATAATAGATTTCTCTACATAATAAAGGTTTACAACTTTTCCCTCATTAACCACATACATTTATATATATGAAAACCTAGCATATATAAATCATAATCTAGACATGTACCACCGACAAGTCATTCTCCTCAGACGACGAACCACTCGCGATGATGCTCGATGCGACAACGTTTTCACCCTTGGCCGCTGCTCTCACACTCTCTATCAGCTCATTTGTTCTTCCATCTTCTGACAATATATGCAATAGCTCTTCCGTGTTTATGACAAGCTTCACTTTCCATATTCCACATTTGCTCCTCCTCGTCTTCTTCTCCTTGTGTCGGGTCCTTGTCTGCATGTTCCTCGAAATGACGTCCGTGTATGATCTCTTGAACACCCTGCGGTTGTAATCCAGAGACATTCTGTACGGAGTTATCGCTGGCAAGGACTCGCTGTTGGATCTCACGTGGCAGTTTCCGACAAAAGTCTTCAACTCGTCGTCGGAGACAATAGTGGGCAAGAGATAGTATGACTGACCGGGGACGAGGTGGTCGTGGAGCGGCAGGGGTTTCCAGAGGAGATCATCAATGGCCGAGAAAACAGAATGGCCTGAGAACTCGTAGGAGACGGAGCCTGCCGTGACGGGGGAGTAGAACTCGAGAACTTCACCATCGGATTTTGCGACTTTGATCAAAAAGTCTTCCTCGTCGCCTAACCCTCCGAATAAACAGTTCCCCATGCTCGATCTTTTGCCTACTCCATGCTCTCTAATCTCTATACTCTAATATTTATAAAGGTCGTGAGAGACTGAGAGCTTTCCTTGTAATGCCTCCTATTATTTACTCTATAACAAAGGCAAAACTATGTAAAGCCGCGTACATCAAAGGAAAATGCGGTGGATTCTTCTTTGCTTTTGATCTTTTTAATACCGCTATAGCTTGCTTTGGAGACATGCTTTTAATTAAGTAAATCCTATATATAACAACAACAAAAATTGACATGCTCTTAATTAGTGCTTTTTTTTTAGAATTAAAAATATACTAGTTATCTTTAATTTGTTATTTGGTGATGACATATAAAAAGTTTAATTTCAAATGACCGTAAACTGTTAGGAGATCTCGCGGATGACGAGATCGCCTTTGAATATATTTTTTATACTTATTAGGAAAGTTAATATTGTGTATAAGGTATATTCCTATTCAATATGTATAAAGAACTTGTTAGACGTCTAACTGTAAAGAACTTGTTAAACACCTTTAAATAACTTGTCGACAAGTTATGATATTTGTTTAAATAAGCCTAATTGACTAATGAATAAAACCGAATGAAACTATTCTATTTCTAAGTTTCTTTCAAATTCTATCATAAACTTACTTATATATCGCAATCCATTTTATATAACTTCCATTTCCTCATCCCTAAAAGGCATGAAAGAAGTACGTAGAGATCCATTGTCAGTGGAGCATTTTGAGTTGTGATATCCCAAAAAGAAAAGGAGTTGGGCTATAAAGAAAATGTCGAATCATCATATTATAATCATACCAAGCAAAGGAGAAGAGAAAATAAGTAAAGAAAGAATAACGTATTAATTAATGGGTCCATTCCACTCCAACCGAGCCCTAAAATAACTAAAGAAAAGAAAGAAAGTCCAAGAATCTACGAAGAGGCATCGGGCGGAGTCTCTTTCAAACTTTTTCTTTATTAAAAGTTAAAACCTATCAATCTCAGACTCTATTTTGACCTTTTCCTTACGTTTATTTGATTACAGAAGTCCGATTTTGGCGCCAGAAGCTAATTTTTACAAAAAAAAATACGAACCATAGTTCGTCCATCCACAGTTAAGATTGTAAAAAAACGATCAACTGTGATTGTTGTGAAAACCCCC